ACTTAATTTGCTCCACCCTTAACTGTTATTGCATCTCTTTCCAAATCCACTGCTGCTTTTTGCACTAACCGCTTTTCTGTTCAATAGGGGCAGAACTCCTGGGCCCTTCCAGTCCCCCCCAAGCTCTTCCTGAGGACGTTTGCATCCTAGAGCCCTGCATTAGTGCAGCAACAGCAACATCTGCTATATCTCAACCCCTCCCCTCCAGAGGCTTGCCATGCTAACATTGGGATATCAAGTTTCCTTTCCTCGGTCTCTGCAGGTGAAAGTGATTCTTGCTTCCAATGTCCTGTCTCCTGCCTTTTCAAAAACAATCTTAACATTATAATTGGTATTATAATTCAGAGTGCCATTTAAAAGCCATTTTTCACCACCTTCCAGCCATTAATTACAATATTTAATTAAAGTTTTCTTGCTCATGGGGCCCCTGGGCTCTCCAGCAATATTTCAAGTAGGGTTTGCCTGGAAACTTCCTTTCCCCATGCTGTCCTGTACTGAATTTCATTGATCCTTTGTTCCCAAAAGTCCACCCCTTATAGCTGGTATATTAGTTTGACCAAGTACATATTCCTCTTTAAAGCCCTGTCCACAATCCCAAACGAAATGCCAGTTTCCTCTATCCCACTGTAATTCCTGGACAGTATTACATTCAAGTACTCTGGTACTTCTGTTAACAAGTACAGGCTTGCAACCATTTTCACGGTGAAACAAACATCAAGTTATACTTGATTCCCACTTTCACACCACTCACACCCTGAATCAAATATTTAGTATTCACACTATATGGCAGCCACTTATAAAGTCTCCTTTGCTGGGAAATGGAGTCTGCCTACTTCCCCAGGGCACGGAACACCGAATTCCCTGGAATTATATTATAAATAGAAATAATTTTGTAACAGAAACACTTAACAATTACAAAGATAACAACAACGACGAACACAGTTCTTATTAAAACCAGTTCGAACATTTACCCATTACATAGGTCCTACCAGGCCCCCTCCTGGCAGCTAACTGCAAATGCCCCCCCCCCACTAACCGGTCACTTTAAACTACAGATCTGGCACACCTTTGTGGTCACGTTTTTTCCAAAGTATTACAAAGCTTACATTCCCAAGCACATTATAGCCTCACTCTCATTATAGCCTCGTGAGTTATACCTGAGAGGTTCTTGGAATTCTCGAGATACCTCCCTAAGTGACCTCCCTAAGTCCCCATCCCAGTCAGCCCTGCAGATCAGCCAACTCTTCTGGCTGACTCACCAAACTGACTTGCAGAATCAAAGTCTGTAACCACAGAGGAGTTATAAAGCAGGTATATTTATTCAGCACGGCGCACACACGCTGGGTGCAAGTGGGGGTAACCCCTTCTAGCCTGCACACCACAAAGTGACAGTTAAGGATATTTATAGAAACAAGTTATACATACGCAAGAATAGGAGGGGATATTACAATTGATTCCAAGAAATTAATCGTAGATTATTATGATATTACAATTAGAATAGGAGGGAATATTACAATTGATTCCAAGAAGTTATCATCATATTCTCCACTCCTAGATGTTAAGCCCAATTGCTGACTTATCATGAACTTGCAGGCTTTATTTCCCCCTGGAATTCCTAGGCCATAGCCTGAACCAATATGTGAGCACGAGTGCCTGAAGCAGCAGGAGAGAGATAAGGCTACATTCTTCAGTTCGCATTCTTTGGCTATCCCCCCTCCCCTCCCTCTCCAAGCAATTGCTAGGAAGGGTGAGTCAACCCCCATCCAAATCCCTCTCTATAGCGCCCGTCGTTGCCTTTGTTCACTCTACACCCCCTTACCTTGTTCATAATTAAGCGAATGCCATTCTGAAACAATTCTAAAGGAATATTTTCCACAGCAAGGATAAAAATACCTTTTGTCAGGTACCACCAAATTTGTAAAAAATCTCATTATGAGTATGACAACTGAAAGTGTTTGCTCACTGCTGTCACACAAAGATAAATGTATATCTACAAGTTTTAATATTTAATATTAATAATATTAATAATATTGTTATAAATTTATTATATAATTAATATTACATATTAATAATATTAATTAACATTTTAATTTACAAAAAATATGTGAAAATGTAGAAAAGATAAACCAAGTCATGAGTTAGATACAATGGCACTAGATGTTGTGGATTGGTAATAACTGTAATTCACCCCATGATTATGACAGGAAAAAGCCCTGATCAGACTGTTGATACCTTGGCTTCAATCCTGTTCCTGGTGTTGAAATTATGATTTATGATTTGTCAAAATAGTCCATGCATTCATATTGACATGGATTATCTCCTAATATGTTAACTATAAAGGATGGAATTTTCAAAGCTATAAATATATCTTTTCTCATTTTCTTCCTATATAATATGGATGTCTGATCAACTAGTTAAGTGAAAATGGTAGCCAGATTTTTAAGTATTTGCTAAAAATTAGGAAAAGGTATATCCATGTTTCCACACTCACCAGATAACTTGGGTTATCTTTTCTGAATGACTTCTATGCTGCTTGGCAAATATTGCATGATACCAGAAATAAGATTGGCCCAATATGGATCAGTTTCTTCTGTGATTGGTTTTGCAAAGTCTAGGATTATACTGAACAGTTATGATACAAGTTCATATCCATAAAATAGGTTTGAATTATGAAGTAAGTAGTGGGTCAGAAAAGAATCAGAGCTGCTAGGAAGTCTCTTTCTCCAGATACTGAAAAAAGCACAGAGAATTTCACATCGCCCCTCACACAGAAGACCTTGTAGTGCAGCTGCAGGGAGCTGAGAACGCATGGAGCCCAGTGATGCCCTGCTGGATCACAAGTGCAGCCCCTGGCTGGCAGCAGGCCGCAGGGAAGGGCCTACTGCTTTGACAGGAGCCAAGGGAATCATTCAGAAGTTAGTGCAAACAGAGGTAAACTGAAACAATTATCACTCTCGAATAGACGTAGCCGTCAGGTACTTTCACTTTATTTGTAATAAAGGGTTGAACAGAGTTACAGGTGTCTCTTTGAGAGGGAACTGGTGCTTGTATTAATATGAGAATATCAGCTATAATAATTCAAAACATACTTGAAGCCTATGTTGTGCTTCTTAGTGCACATGAGCAAGCTAGCTGGCAAATGTGAGTTTTAATAATTCTTCAATAGCAATTAATATTAACTAATTAAAAAATAGGCTCATACATGAAATGCTACATGATGAATCCTGACCAGACTGTTTCCTGCAGGAACTTAAGACAGGACATGAGGATTTCTGGAGTCAGAGGAATTAATGAAATGCAGGTTAAGGTGCTAGATTCTGATTCCAATTCCAATGAAAGATTCCAACTTTAAAACAAGTTTTAGTTAGGAATAGTATGATCAGAATTAGAAAGTTCTTGTTATTTTATGAATCAGAAAATAGCAAATGCTAAACAATAAGCAAACCATGAAAACAGAGCTTCCTGCTTGAAAAAATATCCTATGCACTAGAATGTGGTCAAGAGAAGATAAGCCAACAGTATGTTCAGCATGTAGTCAAATATGCTATAACATAACAGAAAAAAAATGTGATTCAAAGTCTGTTTCACAATGAAAGCCAGAAAATATTTTGTATTTAAAGAGTTGTAAGACACAATACTTCGTGCAAATGACACTGGGTTCAGATTAACAGTACAATTAAGTTTATGCATAAGTATATGCTTAAGTATCAAAAGTAGAGTTGTGCCTATAAACAAAATAATAAGAAAATTGGAATGCTGTTTCAATGGAGGCATAAAGTGTAAAGAGACTGCACAGAAAGAAAAAAAAAAAAAAAAAAAAAAAAGCTGAACTCTATCTTCAGTTACGAAATATAGAAAAATAACCTATCACAATAAGTCATCTAAACTCCAAGTGATCATTACAGATGTATCATAACATTGGAACCGTAAGTCTGCCTGGACATACAATCATTTTAGAAGTTCACTGTTGCAAATAACACAGAAATTTATACTATGAGTTTAAAACAATACAGTAAGAAAATTCTCAGATGCCACCATTGTCTATGTTGTCTGAAATTCAGAGTTCTACCATTAATCTCTCCTTGTGTTTTTATGTCCCTCATCAAATCAGTGTCTTCGCAAGTATGATAAACATTTTTAGGGACACACAGGGTCCTACTCAAAGCTGATATATGCAAGGGTAACTCAAAGACAGTGCATACAGACCATAAGAATGGCATCCAAGCCTAGAGTATGTCATTTTACTCATTTAATGACAGAAATATCCAGCTATCTATAGTATATAAAGTATGCATTAGGAAAGACAATCAGCAGCTGTGACTATGGTCATCTGAAATGTGATCCCAGTTGCTAGAAGATGGCAACACTAACAGTTCTCTGCATCAATGACCTCAGCTTTTCAAGTGAAAACACCTTCAAAATGCTATTTGCTACTGTTCTCAAAATATATCTTAGAAATAAAGTGATTCATGGTCACTTCTTAAGACACTATACTACCTTTAAAACAATACCAGGATAGGTTTCAAAGAATTGTAATGAGAGTCTGATATAAGCTTGTTGTTTGTTCGTTTGGAAGAGAACATGTCCATTTATTTCTTTTAGCTCCCTCGACTAACTTGGACAAATGCCTTGTAGACTTGCATACAGATTATAGACAAATACAGTTCTCATTCTTGCCAGCTTAAATGGCATGCTAAGTGCCTTTTGGGGCAGCATCATTTAAAAAACAGACTAAAGTTTTCTAAAGCAGTTCCTAGCACATAAAATTTAAAAAATTAAAACAAGTGAAAGAATAGGAATGTATCCCTTAGACTCCATTGGAGCTGTATTAACACTAGGTGTGATGTTTGCTTTTTTGAAGGAAAAAAAAAAAAAAAGCAGATTTAAGGCATCCATAAAATATTTACTGTATGTCTTGTCTTTAGGTTTTTTCATATCCCTTCCTCTTTGTGGACACAATTCACACTTTATTTTAAATATATACTTGTATAAAGTCTTACCTTGTAATTTGTGCTCTAGTATTGAAGTCAAGAGATCTCATTGAACGCAAGACTTCTATACACCCCAAGTACTGCAAGGAAAAAGAAACAGTTGAAAAACATGTAATTATTCTTGGTTTCTAAGATAAAATACACACTGAAAGGCATTGCACAATTTGTATTTTTACATTCCTTGAATCCTATGTGTCAGGTAGATTTTTGTAATTGTGATCTTATATTACACAGATTTATTCCATAAACGCTTAATTGCACTCAAGTCTCAAGTCTGATTCAACATCTCTCTATAAGTTTAATCTAATGTCATTAATATATCTTGTTCATAATGTGCTGACTTTTAGTTTTTCATTTTCCATGTTTTATTTTACATTCAAAGCTATTTAAATTTAAAATTATATTAATAAAAAAAAAAAAGGAAATGCAGAAAAACAAATTCAACTACTGTTAGTGGGGAAAACAAAACAAAAATTGTGGCAGGGAAGTTGAAAACTGCATCAGCAATCCAAAGATTCCTTAACGATCACGTCAGGGACAGGTGGGATTTTCCTTAGTATTTTCATTAATGGCAACAGTATAAAGATAGAGGAAAATCTTAAGAAAATACACTAATAACAAATGCAGGGAGACGGTTTCAACAGAATTATTCTAGAGAGGAGGAATATGAAGGTTGGCTAATAGTTAGAAAAAGACCAGACTCATTGCAGCACATTCCTGCCCTGCATCTCTTTGAAAAACAGGGAGTAAATTGGAAAATATGTTCAAATGTAACAGTAACTACCATAGGAGTGAGAAAATCTCAGGTGAATTCTGAACTTGCTTCCAAAAGCAGGGATAATTTGCACATGATAAAGCCTACAGCTATAGCTGCAGATCTCAACAGGTATTTGTAGAATGGCTTTGTACAAACCAGCTTATGACAGGCATATCCAATGGCAGCATCACTACATGTACTGTATGCACTCAGCCATTCACCTGGCTTTTGAAAGTTAGGGGAAGCTGGGACGAGTTTTTAGATAATTAACTATTCTAGCATAATACCAATCTGCAGTGTAATCAAACCTATTTAGACACAAAACTAGTGCAAAAACCAAGTGAGGTCAGCATTTTGTGTCTGCTTAGGACTTTTTCATTCTACTGAAAAAAAAGTTTTTTCTTATTACTAGGATCTTCAACAGTGCTTTTTCTATAGAAACATGTTACAAAGTTTTTACAAGCTGAGGAAATTACTTTTTTGTTTTCAGATGTCAAGTATTATTTATTAAATATTATGAAGTCATTACAACATTAAATAAAACAAACTAGAATATCAAATAACTTTTATTAATTAAACTGTTCAAATTTGGATTATAATTCCCTGCAGTTTCTGGGAAGGCTTATTTCAAGATCAATTTTATTATTATTATTACTATTCTGCAATATTATCTTAGGTTTTCAAAAAGTTTGTAAAATCCTTGTGGAAAATATATTTTTGATAGAGATCTGGCACACGGAGCTTTCAAAATAAGGGTCATGCTCTCAGGCTTGTTAGACTATTACCAGTCCTACAGTGAAAAAAAGGTAACCTCCTGTATCTCATAGCAAGTAGCTTCTTTTTTTAAGTAAATTTCTCCCTAAGCACTTAAAGCATCCAAAAATATTGTCATGTTCTGATGAGAGAAATTAAGCTATTAATTCTGTTTTTAAGTATCTCAGAGAATGATTTGATTTTCTTGAAGATGAAGTTCATGATACATTGAGATAATGAGCTGAAGTCAGTTAAGCTAATGTACAGAAATTAATCATTTTGGTTTAGTTCTATGATTCTTTTAAAGATAAATATTCCCAAATATTTATTCCATACCGCATTTTTTTTTTTAATTAAATATGTTGAAAACTGGTAAAACTATTCAAAGGCATTCCAGTGACTGTTCCTTACTGAAATACTTGTTTTTTTCAACACATCCATTTGGGCCGCTTGATACCAAGACTTGTTCTTGTTCCTTCACATGTCTGTATTTGCCACAAGTTTTTCTAAAGCTCAGAAATTGCAGAAATTTTGAGGACTAAGTCAAACACTTTAGAAGTAAACTCCAAAAGGTAGTTTCACAAGTACATGCAGGCGTGCAAATAAATACACAAACACATATTCACACATGTATAGAAATAAACACACAAGCAATTAGACGAATATCCATAAACAGAAGGCGTGCAGTTTAAGACTCCTTTGAGTCATACTACCTGATCTGCATTAATGAAAGGAAAGACAAAACCAGACTGAAGGAAAGTCAGATGGAAAAATGTCTTGTACTTGCTTTATGTATAGCATGGAGACAGCTGAACACAACATAGTAAGGCTTGCAATTTTCCTGACTGATCACGGCAAAGATGGCAATTGATTTTCTTGGATAAAAGATGTGAACACTTAATCACCATGGCATGTTTTCAAGTAATGAAATTACTAAAAAAACTGACATTCAAAAGGCCCAAACGCCAACTACAGGGACATATAACTCACCTACTGCTATGCTTCAATTATTCCCAAAGACCAACACTGTTCTCTAAAAATATCCATTTGAAGTACATCCTGACAAGGATCCACAGAAAGGAGACATACAACCAAGATAGCAAGTAAATAAATTATTCATTTATTTCAACAAGTACATATCCTGTTTAAAAAGAAATGCTATCTTTTGTTTTAGGCATTCCACGAAACATTTAAAATGTAGTTATAAAGCAGTCTACTTCTAAGAAAGCTCCTATTCACCCAACACTTAATGCACATTCTAACCAATTGGCTACTGTGCATCACCATAGCATCCCACTAGCATCCTCCCTCTCATGCTCAATAAACAAATACACCAAATGCAGCTCACCTTGAAGTAGGAAAATTTGGGAGCACGAAGCTCTCAGATAATGTTCTGCCTTCTGTCTAGTTTCTCATATTTGAATGAGAATATTCTAGCTTGTATAGCTTGTATGTACTGAATTCTAAGCTGACATCTTTCAGATGAATTAATGCTTCCCCATTCAGAGGTTTTAGAATCATAACCAACACTCTGCATTCTAACCAGTGCCTTGCAGCCCACTGATGTAAATCCGATAGCATGGTGTCACATTCTCCTGGAATCACGTCTTCTACTGCAGAGTTTCAAAAATATTGGATAGTCATCATTTTTTCAGGTAAGCATAATACATTCCAGGTTATAAGTTTAGACTTTTTTTCAAATTCCCTGAAGTACCTGTCTTCTCTATGACTTACTCAGAAAATTCTTGCTTAACAACTAAAATTTTTTTTTAGTTACAGTACTCAGGGCAAGAAAGGGTACAGAGTTCTTCACCATGTGTCGAAACAAACAGTTCAACAAATGAGGGTTGAGTGTGTTCATGTGCGTGCAACAAGGAGGAAAGGCAAAAGAAGGAAGTCACCATCAGAGTTATTTTTTTCCCCTGGAACATGAAATCTTGCTCAGTGTTTCATAATGAGCTCATTCAAAACACCAATTTACTAGAAGAAATCTTTCACTTTTTGTGTCAGAAACTAGTAGTAGCAACAGCAATAAACATTTTTATAAAAATGTGGCAACACTTAGGCACATATAGCACTGCAGTAGTCCAGCCTGGGAACAACAAATGTTTAAATGGCAGGTGTATGGGTGGCATTGACTAGGAGATTAGTATCTGCCCAAAGGATGGGTAGCATTAAGATACACTTATCATCAACTCTCAGACAAAATAAGGAAACCTGATCCCTGAACCTAAGCTACCAGAATATCATCAGTTCACCAAAGCTGCATACTTACTCACAGAAAATTAAAAGTGGTTTCAAATCTGTGTTTCCAGCCACCTGCTATAAATCTGAGTGGCTCACAGCACTGCAGATTACACCTGCAACCTTGTACAAGTTGTATGCTGACGTGCTTAGCCATGCTGACATGGTTATGTCAGCAAACAGACACACACTTGGCAGTTGGCCATAAATTAGCCAGTGCCTTCAAACACTAAAGTATCTGAAATCTGCTCTAGCACTGCACAAATGCTGATAACAGGCTAGGGACCCAGTGAAAAACAGCATCACCCTGTGACTCTGCATGGTTTATACAGACCTAATTTTTGAAAATAGAAAGCTCTGAAACATATTGTAAGGTACTCTGTAATAAATTGAACAATGCGTCACCCTCAGGCTCAGACTGTGCATTTACTTGTGAAGTATGCAAAAAAAGAACATTTTTTACTTGCCACATCTATTTCTCATGTGTATTTAGAGTAATATCCATTTTCCTGATTTTTTTTTACTTGTTAGGCGAAGTAATAAGGAAAAAAAAAAAAAAAAAAAAGATAATTTACCAGTTAAGAGCTGACTATTGCTAATTAAGTCCAGCTGATGACTCCCTATTTCAAATTCAGACTGTTTAGCTTCCACTGCAGCATACATTTATTTCTTCATCAAAACAACCAATCGCTGACATTTCAGATGTTGTCATTAACAGCCTAATAGGTTTGGAAAAAGAACACTAAAAATGTTCTACAAGATTTATAACTTATAAGCTTGCCTTCCTTCCTAAGCCCTATCAAGACTGAAATCTAGATGCGCATTAACAAGCAGGGTATAATACAAAAATAGTGACAGTTTCAAGTTAATAAACTTGTCCGCACATAACTGAAAACTCAGTCATAGATCTGTACTGTAAAAACTCATATTGATGCAAGAAAAGAAGAAAACCAAACAAAAACAAAAGCAATCCAGGTCCTAGATAGAGAGTTCAGAGTTAACCACTTTCAAAGTAATTTTTGTCTTTGGCAAAATAATAAGGAGGAATCAACTTGAATCCTTGTGACATCACTTTTTACCATGTTCCTAGCTTAAATGAATTTATAATGCCCACTTACTAAATTACTGAAAAGGAAAAGAAAAAAGGGAATTGCAATCAAAAGGTCTTTCCATTAATACAAAAATACTAAGTAAAAGAAAAAGTAGTAAAATATGCAAAATATTTCATAATCTTTTAAAATTTTGCTTTAACTTAACATTTACTACCTTGAATACCTTACTGATTGGAGTAAAGCACCTCAAATTGTTCGCATGAAGAAAGGATAG